ATACCCAATTTTCTACCTTAAATCATATGTTTTAGGCCTAGGATTTCAATAGATGTTGAAGGAAATGAAAGAAAATAAGTTAAGGATTACTAACCCAAGAGATTTTGGTTAAGGATCGCTTCAATGGTCGCCTAAGAGCTTGGAGAAGAAAGGTTTTTGTGAAATTTTTTGGTGAATCCCGTAATGACACTGTTCTGGAATTTTAAAATTTAACTGGGCGAAAATACCCATCGCGTTCGCGACAGGCTGGTCGCGTTCGCGATGAGTAGCACTTAACAGGACATCGTGATCGCGAGAAGAGGAACGCGAACGCGGAGAGTAAAAGGTTGTGGCCCAGAAATTTTTCTACGCGAACGCGAAGAGGGAACCTGCAAAGCTACGCGAACGCGAGTGGGTGCACGCGAACGCGATGAGGAAAAGAAGACTCAGCCCTCAGCGCCAAATAACACTGCGTGAACGCGAGGGCTTGGATGCGAACGCGAAGGAAGAAAAAGTTAAAGCTTCGCGAACGCGAACGCGAAGAAGGAAAAGGGTCTGCAACAGCTGAAGCAAAATCTGCAATTTTATAAGTTAAAAACCATTCTGAAACACCTCCGAAACACTACCGAGCCCTCGGGGCTCCTAACCAAACACATGAACTAACTCAACAACATCATACGAACTCATCCGTGCGATCAAATCGCCTAAATAACCTCAAAAACAAAGAATCAAACCTCAAATTCAAGAATTTTTCTCAAACTTCATCAAGTTTCAAATTTAGAACTTTAAGTCTAAATCACGTCAAACGACGTCCGTTTTTAACCAAATTTTACAGGAACATCTTAATTCAAATATATGACCTGTACCGGGCGCCGGAACCAAAATACGGGCCCGATACCAATACGTTCCAATCAAATATCATTTCAATTTTCCTTAACAATTTTAGAAAAATAATTTCTTTTAAAAATTCATTTCTCGGGCTCGGGACCTCGGAATTCGATTCCGGGCATACGCCCGAGTCCCGTATTTTCCTATGGACCTTCCGGGATCGTCAAATCACGGGTCCGGGTTCGTTTACCCAAAAAGTTGACCAAAGTCAAATTTATTTATTTTTAATATCAAAACTTAGCATTTTTCACAGAATTTCATATTTAAGCTTTCCGGCTACGCGCTCGGACTGTGCACGCAAATCGAGGCAACTCTAAATGAGGTTTTCAAGGACTCAGAAGCACATAATTAATTAAAAACAGGTGATGACCCTTTGGGTCGTCACATTCTCCACCTCTAAAACAACCGTTCGTCCTCGAACGGACAGAAGAAGGAAGTACC